CGTTTCAGTAAATATATGAAACTACACAACAGTGTTTCAGTAAAAACATGAAACAACAATGTTTCAGTAAAAATATGAAACAACGTTTCAGTAAATATATGAAACTACACAACAGTGTTTCAGTAAAAATATGAAACAACAATGTTTCAATAAATATATGAAACTACACAACAGTGTTTCAGTAAAAATATGAAACAACAATGTTTCAGTAAATATATGAAACTAGACAACAGTGTTTCAGTAAAATATGAAACAACGTTTCAATAAATATATGAAACTACACAACAGTGTTTCAGTAAAAATATGAAACAACAATGTTTCAGTAAATATATGAAACTAGAAAACAGTGTTTCAGTAAAAATATGAAACTAGACAACAGTGTTTCTGTAAAATATGAAACAACAATGTTTCAGTAAATATATGAAACTACACAACAGTGTTTCAGTAAAAATATGAAACAACAATGTTTCAGTAAATATATGAAACTACACAACAGTGTTTCAGTAAAAATATGAAACAACAATGTTTCAGTAAATATATGAAACTACACAACAGTGTTTCAGTAAAAATATGAAACAACAATGTTTCAGTAAATATATGAAACTACACAACAGTGTTTCAGCAAAATGTGAAACAACAATGTTTCAGTAAATATATAAAACTACACAACAGTGTTTCAGTAAAAATATGAAACAACAATGTTTCAGTAACTATATGGAACTATAAAACAATGGTTCAGTATCTTTGTCAATTTTTTTCAGGCCCATGGTTGTGTCAGAATTTTTCTTGATGGTCCAGATAGTTCTTTTGTTTGATAACTTCAATAATATATCATGGAGACATAATTCTTGACCAGTAGTTAACATATTGTTAGCTTTTATTCTTAATTATGTACTATAAACTATTCTTTAACTTGTCTCATTCTTATTACTGTAATATACATATAAAAGCACAAGTACCTTTCCATTAACTGAAACAAAATAAAGTTAAATAACAGCTGATTTTAAGCTAAATCTTAAAAACTTGACAAAATGTGGTTAGTCTTAAAGTGATACCTGGGCAAATAGATTATTTTTCAAATGTAAATCCTGCCTGATAAAGATTTTAACATAGTTTACTAAGGGTTCAAAACATAAATCTAGTGTTTGCACTATGCCTGTTCTACTTGAAATGTTACATTGTGATTACTTAATAAATCCTGTTTGTACTCAGTGAGGCCTGGCATGGCCCGGTGGTTAGGATGCTCGACTCGCAAGCTGCGGGTTGTGAATTTGACACCTCTCCCTAACGTGCTCACCCTTTCTGCTGTGGGGGTGTTATATGTGATGGTTAAACCCAATTTTTGTTGTTAAAGTGTAGCCCAATAGTTGGCAGTGGGTGATGTTGGCTAGCTGTCTTCCCTCTAGTCTATCACTTCTAAATTAGGGATGGCTAGTGCAGATAGCCCTGAAGTAGGTCTGGGCAAAAATTCAACAGAACAAACAAATTTTTCTTCTTGAAATAAACAATCGTTTTCAAAAAATTAAAACGTGACAAGAAGGCTTGTTAAGTGTACATGTGTCTGAACTATTGTATGATTTATACTCCATAAAAACATATTAAATACTTATTGTAAATCATAGTCTTAATAGAATAACTTGGAATAATTCGACTTTTTTTTAATTCTTTAATTAAAAAAACGTTTTCTAATAGGTCTTTGACCTAATTAGCATTTTTTACCGTTAGATAGAACCAATTTCGTCCATTCACGTAACATGTAATCTTCTATCATTCTTGTTGAAATTTTAGGAAAAAATGGTAATTATTTTAAGATAATTAATTAATAAATGATAATTTTTAAGAAAGCGTTTAAACTGTGCAGGTGCCCAGTATATTGAAAACTGTCAAGTTCATAAAATTCTGACAGAAAATGGAAGAGTTGTTGGAGCTAAGACCAGTAATGGACCGATCAAGTGCGAGATTTTTGTTTTGGCAGCAGGCATGGTAAGAGTAATAGGTATTTACTTTTATTTTGTGATAAAGAACTTGTAAAATAATCTTTATTGTATCTTGAAAATTCATATCTAAGTTTGTAAACCATTATTTATTAAAGGAAAAATGTTTAGTCCTAATATTTCTGTTGATCAACTATATTTTAAAATGATATCTGTAGGTATATGTTTAATGTTGTAAAAGCATGAATGTGTTATGTGTATTTGTTGACTACTGTCAGTCACGGTATTGTAATAACCATTGTTGTGAATCTAACAGTGAGGGTTCCCAACTGATTAAATAATGCATTCTAATCTTTATACATAAAAACAGTACATTTAAATAACTGCACTCATTGCCAGGTTTATTTTTATTATATCCAAGTAGCTAGTTCGCTCCGAGCAGAAGTCAATATTAAGTAATTGCTAAATAAGGTCGTGCGACTTAATTAATTGCTGTAGCATCATCAAGGTGAAAATCATACATCAAAATCAACATCCACATTTATGTAATACAACAGTGACACATAGTTTAAAATCGTTAGTTTTTAGAGTTTTCAAAGAATCGTAATTAACATAATAGTCATCTGTAGAAACTGGTATCTGTGATTCATTTTTGTGGAGAGGTAATTATATTTATTCATGCAACCTGAAACTCATCAGAGATATTTTCCTTCGGTATTCACAACAAGCCAAATTACTTTCAATGAGTGAAAGATTTTAACTCCTTAAAAAATGGGTTTAATGTTATTTAGTTGAGAAACATATTCGTGTTTTATTTTCCATTAGCAAAACATGTTTTTATCTCTGAAACTTGGAAGTTTTTGATCATCGTTAAGCACATTTTTGTGGCTCACAACATTTTTTGTTAAAAACGTTTTGAACTATAATTGGTAAGTTCGTTGGTTTAATGGAAGTTAGGGTTCTTGAAGGAAAACGTTGAAAGTAAATCTAGATCAACTCGATGAAATATTTGAGAGTTATAGAATAATTATATTAAAGTATATGTGTTATATGTTGAGAAAAACTGTAGAAAATAACATTTAACCTTAGAAAAAGTCTAGGTGATAGATTATCAGTGTTGAGTTAGGCTTAGCATTTGTGATTTTATTAGTAATATTTTAGAGTAACCAGTCAATATATATATATATATGTTTGTGGCTAGATACAGACATACATACATACACATCATATACTAAGGCTATATTATCTGCATTTGGCGAGAAAAAATTTAATTTAAAAACAAAAGAACAGTTTTGAGTATTGCATGATTGGTAGTATTCATTTTGCCAGCTGTTATAGGATATATAACATCTAAGTATATAGCCCAGCATGACCTCATTAGTGTAATAGAATTAACCAAAGTTAAGCCTATTTTATAAGAGCAGTTTTCTAGGTCCCATGGTGCCTTCAATTGTTCATTGTGCTCAGTCTTGTAACACTAATTATGCACTACAGCTCAACATTGCAATTTCTGTTTTAGTGGTCTTCCACAAAGGTTTAATCCTGATAAGACTTTCTGTATTTGAATTTAAACGGACCAAAGGCACAAAAGTCCATTGCAGTATCTGGATGAATAGGACTACTTTGAATCCAGTTTCTCATGAAAATAGTTGATTTTGAGGTGTGACTGGAAGTTTGTATATTTTGGTTTTTGAATCTTCATCATCATTAAATTTTTATCCCCCAGGAGATGTGGCCAGCTTCATCATAACGAGTTTTTGAGTCAAGGGATTATCTTTCAGTTTCCATTTTTAGGTAACTCAAGTGTTCGCACATTTAATGGAAGCTTGGTATCAGATCAGTGCTCACACATTAAATGGAAGCTTGGTATCAGATCTGTGCTCACACATTAAATGGAAGCTTGGTATCAGATCTGTGCTCACACATTAAGTAGAAGCTTGGTATCAGATTGGTGCTCACACATTAAATGGAAGCTTGGTATCAGATCAGTGCTCACACATTAAATGGAAGCCTGGTATCAGATTGGTGCTCACACATTAAATGGAAACTTGGTATCAGATCAGTGCTCACACATTAAATGGAAACTTGGTATCAGATCAGTGCTCACACATTAAATGGAAGCTTGGTATCAGATCAGTGCTCACACATTAAATGTATGCACAGTATCAGATCTGTGCTCACACATTAAATGTAAGCCTGGTATCTGATTGGTACTCATGCTTTAAGTAGAAGCACAGTATCAGATCGGTGCTCACACATTAAATGTAAGCCTGGTATCTGATTGGTACTCATGCTTTAAGTAGAAGCACAGTATCAGATCTGTGCTCACACATTAAGTGGAAGTATGGTATTAGATCAGTTTCCTTTCCTAAATGACTTTCTTTGCAGAATGTTTATTTCTTTGGCTCTCCATTGCTTAACAGTCTCTTTATATGAATATCTCTTTCTCAAAAGTATTTTTATAATACTTTGATTTAAGTCTGTTTTTGGAGACATTACGGTGTCGTAGCTTAAACCTGCATCAATTTGTCACTTCATTAGCATATGCGGGTTACTTTTATATATAAAATTAACTCTTTTACTGTCTTGCATTACAATTATTTCTGAACTCAGATTGTTATACGTTTTAGTTTTCTGGTAATCCTGTTTGTGACGTTAAGCATTCCTAGTGAGTTTGTTATACAAGATTGTCTTCATTAATTGACAAGTTTTTGAGTTATTTTACTTGTGGTCTTTGTCTTCGGCATACTTTTAATAAGGAATTACTGAATAATTAATCAATATTTATTTAACACTGCTAATGTACAACTTTTTAGGTGTATTTATCTGGTAATTAATAGCGTGCATACTTAAGATTATGTTTCTGATTTTCAGTGGTCGAGAGAACTTGCTAACACTTGTGTTCCAAGGTTCAGATTACCAATTCATCCTGCTGAACACCAGTATGCTGTTACAGAAGTAAAACCTGCTCTGACAGAGTCACTACCTAGTAAGTGTTGAATAAATGCTTGTATACTCTTAACTACACCACTGATGTGTAATTCAACAATGTGCTAATGCTTTAAGGTGTACTGTTAACTAAACCACTGATGTGTAAGTCAACAATGTGCTAATGCTTGAAGGTGTACTGTTAACTACACCACTGATGTGTAATTACACAATGTGCTAATGCTTGGAGGTGTACTGTTAACTACACCACTGATGTGTAAGTCAACAATGTGCTAATGCTTGAAGGTGTACTGTTAACTACACCACTGATGTGTTAGCCAACAATGTGCTCTTGCTTGAAGGTGTACTGTTAACTACACCACTGATGTGTAAGCCAACTTTGTAATTGTTCTGATGTTGTTGTTTTTTATATGGCATATTTTAACTGTTATGTTTTTTTATACAATCAGTTGTTCGTGATTATGATGGACAAATATACTGTAGAGAACACCAAGGGGGCCTCCTTTTTGGTGGGTTTGAGAAAGAAGGCAAACCTCTCTTTCATAAAGGTGTCCCTCCGAAGTTCGAGTTTCAGAAACTTCCTGCAGATGTGGTTCATTTTCGTAAGAACATTTTTTCTTTCTTTCTAAATCATACTTTTGTATATCTCTGTTAACTCTCTCAACATGAGCTCAGTCAATTTGACCGACCACGTGACATCTTTGTAATTGACTAAAGTCTTTTTAGATTTAATACTTCTAACTTTCAATACAGTGTGTATATCTTCACAAAATTTGGCAGTCTTTCAGTTAATATTAGAAGTCTTTCACATACAAAAAATCGTATTTTTTAGTGAAGTATTTTTAATAAACTAAAATAAAGATTTGTCCATGAATATCTTGAGTATTTGTTTTGAATAGTTCGTATGCAAAGTAATTTTCATTTTAAAATTAAAAATAGTTTTCCTCATCTCAAAATTCCTTTGTGTAATCCCTAAATCCTTCTAAATTCATTTCAAACGTTTTTTTTTTCAGTACAACTTTATAGCTTATCTGTTATTTTCTCTACCCTATCTCAAAACAAAAGCTGTCAATTCGACCAACCTCATAACCACACAAAAAAAAAATCGAAATAAATCTAAATTACCCTTTTTTTCTTTCTAGAATGATTTCAAATTGTAACATGAAACTACATTTATTTATCCTAAATAGCTTAAATATTGTAACAGTATACACCTGTTTCTACTTAAATTTTATTGTTCTATTGCCTTTGAACTGTATATAACTAATAATCCTGCCACACAAGTTTAAATCACTTGGTGACTGTATAGCTCATGTTATCCTATTGAATTACTTAAAGCATGGGCTGCTTGCGGGCATACCTTATTTAAAAAAATGTATGATAATTTTTTCTTTATTTTATTTATTCTATCCTAACAAGTTTTTAATTTTATATTTAAGTTACTTTTATTATAATAAATAAATAATACACATTGAAAACAAGAAATATAATACCACATGGATCATCATCATTTTTTTTTTTTGCTGTTAACTGTCAAGGAAACTTAACCCTATTATTTTATACTAATGGCATTATAACACTAAATTATTTTGTATTTAACCCTATCTAGATGGGTTTTATTATGGTAGAGGGTCAGAGGGCATGTCATCGTGTTTGTAGACTTACATTCAGAATTTTATTGAACTACTATTTATGAATATATGTCAATAAGTTTGGCATCAAATTGTAGATTAAAATTAAAATTTTAGTATTATACATTAGTTAATTTCTTAACCTAAAAGTTAGTATTAAAACAAAACTGCTAAATATAGATTTTTGTCCGTCACATTGTATGTTTGGTCAGCTTACATTTTATGATGTCTGCAATACAATGTTTGTAGTTTCATACGAATTAGAAACTCAACTAATGTTTGGTCAGCTTACATTTTATGATGCCTGCAATACAATGTTTGTAGTTTCTTACGAATTAGAAACTCAACTAATGTTTGGTCAGCTTACATTTTATGATGCCTGCAATACAATGTTTGTAGTTTCTTACGAATCAGAAACTCAACTTATCCATATTGACAAGCTAGAATGTAAAATAAGAACCTCCTATCTTTTCTATTCACTGTGATATTTCCTTTTTTGGAAATACTTGTTTATGTACACCCATTGTGCTCCATTTTCACGTTTATGATCAATCGAAAGCTCAGGTTTTTCCCCCACTTATTCTTTTCAGCCTTTGTAAGATTTTAAGTGCTAAATAACTGTTTTTTTCTCTCATAGCTCGAAGAGTAAAGGTAAGACAAAATGGTCATCACATATGGTATTTTTTACAAATACAACTTAGTTAATAAGCCTGATAAATTATGATGAAATTCTGTGGTATTCATATAGTAATTTATAATTTTTTGTCGTTTCAAAATGCATGTATAAAACTTAAAAAGATTATTTTGTTTTACATCTTCCATGTGCGAAAGTTATCAAGGCTTAGCAGTTTATTGCGAGTGCAAACTTTGTAACAATAATAGTCATAAGTAGTAGAGATCATTGTTTTCTACATTTCTTTATTTACTGTTCTATATTTTAAGAACAATAACTGAAATTTAAGAATTTTTTGTAATTTATTATAACCAAAATGTGATTGTATTCTACAAACTACTGGTGCACCAGTTTTACAAAGCTAAAACAGTTTCACTTTGTAAAGGGCAGTTTTATAATATTGGATACAGTAACATGAGCTGCATGTTTCGTGTGATTACAACTTCTATGCCACTGTTAGTCAGACATAAATTCATGAAATAGTAGTTCAATACAATTTTGATTGCGAGTCAACAAACGCGATGACGTAACCTTTCACCCGTGACCCGTCTGGAAAGGGATAATAGAAAGATGCTTGCCTGAAATAGTTACATATTATTGTTCTCAGATTAAATGAAATAATGATTTCTGATTTTGTCAATGAATTATAAAATTATTTTATGTTACTGTATCTTGGAACATTTACTTAATATCACACTTTTCAAAGTTAAAACAAAGGTTATATAGTGTGTCCCACACATGTGTCTTTGGCAGTAAGAGTTAATCTGATTATGAGTGAAAGATTTACTTTTGATAAAATGTGAGGACTTTGGTTGACAAATGGAGAATTGATGCTAGAATGGGAAGACTTTTGATTGGATGCTATTCACAATTTTGATAATTACAAATAAAAAATAAAAAAAGCTGTAACTACATTTAAAAAAGTAAGAAAAGAAAACAATGAAAAAAAAGACTTATTTTAAATGTCCTATCTTTTTTCTTTAATTTTTATTTTTATTATGTAAACATTTCAGAGCCCTTGTGTGACCAGGCTAAGTATCGATTACCAATTTTAGAAACAGCTCACATAAAAGAAATTGTCAATGGCCCTGAAACTTTCACACCAGATGGAAAGTTTATTCTCGGGGAAACGCCTGAAGTAAGTAGGTATTCACAGGTTAAAACAAAGTTACTATTTTAACATGTAAGAAATTGTTAATATTTCGAACGAAAAATTGTTTTTAAATCTAAACTTCATATCATTGGCAGTGGAATGATAATACTTTGTTTTTACTTCAGGATAAAATTTTGTAGGTATTTATATCCCTTTCTGACTTATTTTTAAACCATTCATTACTAGTAAAGTCCTTGTGTCGTATTCATTTGATAATTCTACGAAGTTCTGGATTCCAAAGCTGGGAAGCCAGATTTGAACCTGTGTGATACCACTAATATATTCACTGCACTTTTAAGCTGTGGATGCATTATAAAAGTGGCAGTCAATCCCTTAGAGGGTGCTCTTGACTGATTGCCTATCTTTTGGTCAGCAGTTCAAAATTAGGGACAATGGCAGATAGCCTTATTAGCTTTGCCATAAATATGAATGCCTGTTACAATGCTCGGTATAAAAACTGACCAAAACAAGTTGTGTGAAATTGCCCATTTTCAGTCTAAGATGCATAGAGGACTCCAGGAGTATTAGTGAGATTAACTGCAGTTTTGATGGTATTTTTTAACACATTTTTGCCAAAGTCTTTTCTTTTAGGAAACTTATAACCAGTATATTCATTGAACCACAAGCAATATAGTACATCACGTTTAGAAAAGTGTGTTTAAACAGCACAGGGAGTCCAACCAGTAATACTTACAGTATTATTGCTTTACTAGCATTTTTAAATTAAATTTGGTTAATAAATCAAAGGTACTACAGAGTGTTGGAAAAGTCTGGAACCATAGGTAACTTGCAGCTTTTCTTAATTTCAGATCATAGTGCTGTCAAAGCATAAAAAGGTAAAGTTAATCCTGCTGTTAACCCAAACTTGTTTCAAATTACAATAACAGCATGTAGAACACATTCTGTAAAATTCTTTAAAGTATTTATGTTTCCAGACTTTTTGGGCACCTTATATTTATAAATCTTACTTATGATAAGTAATATGATGTATAAATTTGATGTTCTAAAATTGTCATTCGTGCAAGCAAGATGATGTATCATTACAGAAGTTTCAAGTTCTTTCACATGTAGAGATATTTAAGCAAGGTGTTTTTCCCTGTTTGTAGGTTGAGGGTTTGTACGTGGTCGTAGGCATGAACGGAAACACAGTGCAGGCAGCAGGAGGAGTTGGCAGAGCACTGGCCGATTGGATAACCAATGCAGAACCAGAAGCCCAGCTTCTGCCCTTTGATGTTCGACGTTTTATAGATTTACATAACAACCAGAAGTTTTTGAGAGAGAGGATGAGAGAGGCAGTAGGTATGCAGTGTGAGAGTAATTTGAAAGTCTTTTCTGCCGATGGAGTCCAGGTTTTGGGGGTCGGAAATGGTTTTTGTCTAGGACTGAGCCATTGTTTTTAGCATTTAATATTTGCATAGAGAATTCATTTTTTATCACCTGTGACAATTCTATCCAAAAATGGTTTATGCACATTATAGTGTAGAGTCCTATTGGATTGAATTTAATAGCTTGTTGTTGTAAATCAACCATAGAAAAAAACAACAACATGAAAACATTTTATTTGGTTGAATGGGCACCAATTGCTTGTTGTAGAAACACAAGTACAGAGGACGTCGTTTCAAAACTCTTCCACCTTCAGGACAATCCATCAAAGGATAAGCACTTTATTTATTTCATAATGATAGAAATTTGGTTTTGATACTTGTAGTGGGCAAAGCACAAGATAGCCCATTGTGTAGCTTTGCACTTAACAACAAACAAACCAAATCATAGTGACGGACGGATCAAATGATTGACGATCGTTTCAACTGAGAAGAAAGAATATTTAATGTAAAGAGGAAGGGGGAACAGATTCAATATCTAGACAAAAAATTATGTTAGTTCAAGCTTTTTTCAATAAACGTACAAATTGTTTTCTCACTGTACATATTTAGTTACAGTGTGCGTGGTTGGTAAAAGAAGAAAGTTCTTTTAATTTATGGTGACTATTGTTTCTCTTCTTCACTTTAATTTTAGGAATTCATACAAAAAAAACCAAGTAAATTTTATAGATTGCATTTACATTTTGGAAAATATTCTATTGCAAATAAAATACTAAAAAAAAAACGACTTAAATGAGCATTTTCCCCAGACTGTAAATAAATTTTCACTCACTCTTAAGGACCAGTGTGAGGGGAGTTAACCCCCTTTTATAAGTTTCCACTCTAGTTTTCTTGTTTATCTTTAGTTTTTGCACAGTTGCTTCTCTGAAAAATTGAATTGTTTATATTTAGGTCAGCATTATGCTCTTGCTCATCCTTTACCAATAGAGTTCCATTCAGCTAGAAAGTTAAGATGTTCACCTCTCTACACTCTTCAGGAAGCAGCTGGAGCGGTATTTGGAGAAAGAATGGGGTTTGAGAGGGCTCTGTATTTTGCTCCCGAAAAACCAAGTAAGAAATTTGATAATGCCTTTGTTTTTTATTTTATAACAACTTCCAACAAGTAAAAGTTATTGTGGTAAAGGTCAAGAATGCTTGATTTGTTTGGTTGCTTTCGGTG